TAAATACAAATCATAACCACCATGTTTGTCTTCGACATCGAAATCACCATTTTTAAAATGTTGAAACCACTCCCGATACGTTCTTTTACTCAGAGCAGCATCACCGTAAGTTTCTGAGAGCATTCGATGCGCTTCAGCTGCATTTTTTTCCGAAGAGAATTAGGCACATAAACAGACAAGAACAACTGTCACTGAAACGGCGATGACAATTCGTTAGGCACTGTCCACACTCACTTTAAAGGCATTATTATCTATATATTTCAACCAGCCTCGGCCGGTACAGCCACCTATCGGAAAACGGCGGAAGCAATGTTGTACGCCTTATATATTATTTGTTTTAAATTTTATATAATATTTGAGATTTTATTGTAAGATTTTTTTAATATAGAAAATTTTGTAGATAAAAAGCCTAATCAGATGTGTTGATCTTCGAAACAGTATTGATATTTTCTAATGAATTAACACAATCAACATATTTTTATTCAAATCCTTTTTATTTTAATTGGCCTTGAACTCTTTACTTTACAACAATGTGCTTTCAATATACTCGTATATACATACACGTATGTGTTTCATAAACTTTTCTTATACCGGAAAATGAAATTTTTAACGCTTTCCTTCTGAAGCCTTTTGAAATGTTCATGAAACATACATACATACGAGTATGTAATGTTCACATTAATTTCAGCAGCACTAAGCACTAGAGCGCACAATTTCATTTCAATTATTGTATTTATTATAAGCACACATGCCTTCTCCCATTATCATTTACAATTTGCTTGTTTTTATTCAAAAACGGTTATAAATTTAATAAACAGATGCCGAAATACGCCAATTCGGCAAGCAAAAAAAAAATAAATTCAATAAATCGATCTAAAGTTTGCTAACGTCATCACAATTATGTTCATATATATGTTTGTAGAAAATGAACATCATATATGTACGTATACCAAGGCTGCATCGTAGCAATAAATTTAACTTTAATCAAAAAATTGCTATCGTTTCGGTTGAAACATTTGGAAATATTAACGTTATCAAAATAAATTTCGTTTCGTTTTTACCCGAAACGAAGAGCTGCCGTTAATGTTAAACCGTTAACAGATAATGTTAAATGTTAAAATTGACGTGTGCTGTAACCAACAGAGCAAGCGACCATTTTAAAATTAACGTTAACGCTGAGTTTGTGCGGTTTCAACGTTAACGATTTCATTTCGTTTCGATAATATGGCGAAACGATTTCATTTCATCTGCATTGGTCGTCACATCATTGGTATGTACCAATTGCAGGTCACTAAAAAACTACCCTTTAAAGGACTGTGGTCCACGCTGGATCCGATTACGCATTACTTCATGGTGGCGCTCCATTAGTACTTTTTCTGCGAAGTCCTTTACGTTACGTCCCATCTTATTTCGCTTTGTACCGTAATTGAGACAATATTCTCTACTTCTCTCGTCCTGTCAGCTAGTATATTTGAAGATTACATGTTCGGCGTCATTTTCGTTGGCATTTGATAGTGTGCGGTATGCCGACGATACCCACAAAGCTGCTATGTGGTATACTTTGGCCAGTACCATTCGCCTATTATTCTACTTAAGTGCGTCCGTTCATAGCTCGGCTGCGTACAATAAGATTTTGAAAGTTGTCGGAATCATAAGCATCCTTTTTTCTTGAGTCGGTCCTTCTACATTAGCCGTCAGTCTACTAACCTGAAGAGTGATTTTGGAGGCTCTAACGGTTGCTTGCTGGTTTAGTCTTGTCTTACACCCAGATAGTTAACAACTCTTCTTTACCGCATTATTATTTATTATTTTTTTATTGTATTTTTATTATCACTTACACTTATTATTATTTATTTCAAAATTTATTAATATTTTTTTTTTAATTTTATTATTTATTTTTTACAATAAATTTTTGTTTTAATTTTCGTTATTTATTTAAAGTTTTAAAATCTATACATTTTTTATTAGTTATTAATTTTTTTTTTGTAGTATTTATTAAATAAAATCTATTTTCTATTACCTCTAAATCTTTATATGGTTTTTGTTATTTATTACTCGTTAGTTATTATTTTTTTATTATTTATTTTTAAATAATTATTTTTATTTAGTATTTTCTATATAATATTTTATTTTTATATTATTTATTATCACTTATCCTTATTATTCTTTATTTCAATATTTATTACTTTTTTATTATTAATTATTTATTTTTTATTATTAAGTTTTGGTTTATTTTTCGTTATTTATTTAGAGTTTTAGTATCTATTTATTTTTTTAATTATTTATTTAATTTTTTTTAGTGTTTATTACATAAAATTTATTATCTATTATCTCTAAATTATTTATTATTCGTTAGTTATTATTTTTTTATCATTTTTTTAATTTTTATTTTTATTTAGTATTTTCTATATATTCGTATTTTATTCTTATTGTATATTTCAATATTTTTTACTTACTTTTTTAATTTTAGTTATTTATTTTTTATTATTAATTTTTAGTTTATATTTCGTTTTAATATCTATTTTTTTTTTTTTAATTATTTATTTAATTTTTTTAGTGTTTATTATATAAAATCTATTATCTATTATCTCTAAATCGTTATTTGGTTTTTAGTATTTATTATTCGTTCGTTATTATTTTATTTAGTTTTATTTAGTATTTATTATATATACACATGTATTTTATTTTTATAACTTATAATTCCTTATTTAGTTTCTATTATTCTATATTTAATTACTATTTATTATTTATTAAGCGTTTTTTATTTATTATAATTTTTTATTATTATCATTTATTATCTACAATTAGGTATTTAATATTATATTTTTATTATTTAATATTTAGTTTTCGTTATTTATGTTTTACTATTTATTGTTTATTATTCGTTATTTATTTATTATTATTTATTATTTTTTATTTATTATTTATTATTTATTATTTATTATTTATTATTTATTATTTATTATTTATTATTTATTATTTATTATTTATTATTTATTATTTATTACATCTAATTTTTTTTTATTATTTTTTTTTATTACAGGTTATTTATTATTAATTTGTTATTATGTATTTTGTATAATTTATTATTTATTTTTTATTATTTGTTATTCTTTATTATTTTTTTTTATTATTTATCATTACTTATTATTGATCATTATTTATTAATGATGATTTAGTGTTTTTTTTATTATTTGATACTTATTATTTGCTATTTATTTTTCGCTATTTAGATTTTATTATTTATTGCTAATTATTTGAATTTATCTATTATTTTAAATATATATTATATCACATTTAATTTATTTTAATTAATTTTTTGTTTATTATTTATTACAAATTATTCGTTATTTATTTTATATTATATATTTTATAGAATTTATTGATTTTTTATTTTTATTTATTATTCCTTATTAATTATTTTATATTTATTTTATTAATTATTATTTATTCGCTTAGACAAATGTTAAAATTCGTTGTTACTGTAATTGGCGTTATAGAATTTTGAATTAAAAATAATTAAATAATTAAAATACAAATATTTTATAAATCCATGAAAAAAAAAAATATTATTTCAACAACTTTTATTAAAAAGGTGCCAAAACTCGAATGTAAAACTCACAAGAGTTGCATGCAAAGCAAAGTAAACTTTCCACTTTGGTGGGCTTTAGATTTCACTTTTATTTCTTTGACCCATTTTTTTGCAGTCCCTTTCAAAACTCAACGTCATGCGCTTACTTAAGAGCAATTGTGTTTACTTCACTCCCCACACCCAGCTGTACTATTATATACATGTGTAATTGAATCGTTCTGTACGCGTAAAAAAACTTTACTTTTATTTTGTGATGGTGTGTAAACAAACGCCATTCCATCTGTCCACATGCCGGCCCTCTGTCAGCCCCTGTCAGCAAAAGTGAACTTTCGCTTTTCCTCAAACTTATTACAAGAATGGGTATATATTTACAATATAAATGAAAATAAAAATTTCTGAAGGGAAATCTGTTGCACCCCAATTATAAAAGATATGCAACACACACACATGTGTATGCATACAAATATACATATCTACAATTTTCTTTGTTCTGCATACGAGCCACAGTTTGGCCATCAAATTCAGCCGCCCCTGAAAATCTCTTGATGAATGAAAGCGTTAGAGAATGCAACGTTTTTCATTTGAGGTTTTTTGTTTGGTTTCTGGCGCCAAAGCCATCAATTTTGTTTTTCTTGCAGTTTACACACAATGTTGCACACATTCGCTGCAGTCAAATGAACTAGTTGGAGACTAGTTTGAAACTAGTATGCTTAGTAAGGCTCTTTAGTCAGTTAATGTTATTTTTATTATATAAAATCTGTTACCGGAAATGCTTAAGTCTCATTTTTATCGGTAATCAAAAAGGGCTAAATAGCAACTGGTGCAGTTTTGACTTGAAATAATTATTTTGTTCTTTTAAAATGGTGTTAAAAGAAAAATATATTTAGGGATTCCAGCTCTGTCTTCCGCTAACGCCTGGTTGAAAAAATCTATTGTTTGTTTCATCATATGAAAAATCAAAAAAAAAAAAAAACCAAAGAAAACGAAGAAATTGAAGTAAAGCGAATTGGTAGCAGTTTGCTATTTTTCGGACTAGTGCAATTGCAGTCAACAAATTCTAGTAGCAAACTAGTTCTTCTTCAGACTGATTTGATATTTTACAAAAATGTATATTGTACATGATGTATATGAAATAAAAATATAAATAAATACTTTTCAACAAACCATTTAAGAAAACCATTCTTCTACAGCTTGTAAAAACTTCATTGTAGTCGTTTTCATATTTTCCAATTAGTGAGTGAGTGTACAGATTCTGTATATTTCTATTTAAAAATTTTCCGGCCGTATATTATATACATATATATATATATATATCTGAAATGCATTTTATAAGCTGATTTTAATTTTAAACATTTTCTTAGCACAAAATATAATATATTTTTTTAATTTTTATTTTTTTTTTTTGCAGACACTATTGTCGGAAACAACAACTGATGATCAACATTGGCCGCCGGAACTGATTTTATTGCGTGAGAAATTTACCGCTAAAAGTCAATTAAAAATCGCCCAACTGCAAATCAAACATGAAGAGGAGGTATGTATTTTTGGCTATAAATATAATTGTGAATTTCTTTTATTATATTTTCATATTTTCTCGTATTTTGCATGAATTATAAATATAAAAATGTAACACAAAGCATTTTGCACTGTACTCTGTGCGCATTTCGCTTTCTCACATACGTTCATTCATTCAATTTATGACGATCTTTCTTTGTAATGTGTCTGTGTGTGTGTGGTTCTGCTTTCAGGAGATTTCAGTGAGTGTGCTATGCAGACACCTTGTTGCGTTCTTTATAGCAGTAGTTTTGGCAGATACATATGTAGCTGCTGCAAGTGTTTTTCACGATTCTCTTCCTTCTCCCTGTCCCTAAAAATGTGAGCGGCCCGATCGGCTTGTTTTTCGATTCTACATTTCAGTTTGTAACTTCTAACAAGCAATAGATCCATCTCTGGTACTCTATAAGGTCAGTCCCTGGTCCCTTTACCGGAGAGAAGAGTAGTTTTCCTGCTATAGGCTATACCTAGTCCACTTCATGGAGGGATCTCGGGAGGAACAATAATCTTCCTACTAATCCAAGTAAAAAGCCACCTTTCTACTGAGTTTTTTCTAATAAGTCAGTCCCTAGTCCACTTCCCGGAGAGAAGAGTAGTTTTCCTGCTATAGGCTATACCTAGTCCACTTCATGGAGGGATCTCGGAAGGAACAATAATCTTCCTACTAATGCAAGTAGAAAGTCACCTTTGTACTGAGTTTTTTCTAATAAGTCAGTCCCTAGTCCACTTCCCGGAGAGAATAGTAGTATTTCTGCTAATAGAAGAGAATATAGATATACTAGAACTACGAGTATATAAACATTCCCGAGAACTAGGGAAACAAACTGACAAAAGATTTTTGTATCTATATAAATTAAACTCTCCTAGAGTTTCACATGGATAGAATGGAATCCCACCTATGTCTCTTTGCACTCGCCTTTAATATGATACAGGTGTCAATAGAATCGCTGAGCGGTAGAGCAGGTAAAGAGGGTACAAACCACATTTATCCAACTGCCAATTCATACATAGATACCGTCAACTAGGGATTTAAGGAATTTTTTGCAATTTTGTCCCTTTGCAAAGTGGTGCAGTCTATTGAGTTCCATCTAATAAAGCATGGTGTTGCTTGCAGCCGAAATTCTACAGTAGTCGAGTTTCGTATTTAATTTCGACTGGGTGTTTTTCGCTCTTGTAAACAGGCTCACGTAATACTTTTCATATCGGTACAACATTGAAGAAAATTTACCCTGATCTACATGGCGCACGAGTAAAATCTGTATACTGTAGCAGACTAAACTCCTACTTCTCTAGACTCGACCACGACTGATTACCTCTTTGCATGCCCCTAAGACCCACACTTCTAAGTGCACTCTTTCTCTGGTCTGAGCATTTTTAAACAGTTTCTGTTGAATGAGCTCGAAAACAACGACTTTGCTTGCTACTAACCGGAATTACTGAGCCGCTACAACTGTATTTACTATCCTGAGAAACATACTATCTAAGAAACCTCAAAGTTCTACTGACCAGTTCTATCACAAAGTTGATTTTGTAGGAACAAGTACTTCTTCGTGAGACAACTAGTTCCCAATTGAACGGGGGAGTCTCGATTACCACTTGAACACCTTTGAAGAAAACACTCATTACTAACACAAGCAGGAGGAAGGGGTGGATTGAACTTATGACTTTTTGGGAAGTTTTTCATAGACGATTTCAGAAACACTTCAAAGCTCTGTATTGCTACAAATTATTTCGTTGATACATTTTGAAGAACATTGCTTGATTGAAGTTCCATGAGCTTAAATTTATCAAATGCGACCGCCCTCCGACTGCCGAGCGCCGTGAACTCAGATATTACGTTTGCCTTACTACTGGCGTAGAGTCCGACCTACTTGTTGATAGGAAGGCTCGGGAATGTTAATACCTCCGAGTGTATTTTGAAGGCTCATTACAAAAAAACCATAAGTCGTTCGGAGGCAGCTTAGCATTAACTGTAGGTCCCTAGGTTGGAAAAAATCAAGACGCAAAACCTCAAATTGGAGGAGGAGCTCGGCCGAAAACCGCTACAGCGGTTACGAAGTGCCAATTATATAAGAACGTAGTAAGCTTCGCGTCATATGTTTTGTTCAACATTTTCGCTAATCTGACTTCCCTTCTTCTTTCCGAAAGTCTGTTAGTCTGACGACACAAGTGTCGTCTTTCTTGTTCATGTTTCAGTTTACTGAGTGAGACGGTCAAGTCCAGAGTTACGTCCTGTTTTAAAAGAATTGGAGAAGAAAAGTTTAAAAGAAAGTGATTAAAGGAAGTGTGAAAACACGATCTAGGTCTAACTACCGAACAGTTTTTTCCTCGATTTCCGCGATTCGTCCGGTTGAACCAGGTTAAGAGCATGATGTTCTTCATAATGCGTTTCCAATATAGAATGAATATGTTAAACATATATTACATACATACAATACATCAAAAAAATATACATTTTACCTCTCTTTACAGATGTCGCGCTTAAAGTTAGAATATGAAAAACAGTTGAATCGCAAGAATAAACGCCATTCAACTTTCGATTCGGCTCGCGATCTCGAACAGATTATAAGTGATCGTGACAATTTGCGAGAACTATGCAAGAGCTTCCGTAACGTCTTAGCCAAGCTTGCCCAATGCATGGTGAATTGTGAAGATGATATGAACAACACACTCATGCAGGAGGTGCAGCGCCTTGTAGGGGGACACAACCGCACCTTGGATGAGCAAACGGCAGCAGAAGTTGATTTGAACAATTCGCAATTGAATGCATCGCCGAATTCCAACAAACAAACCCGTTGCTTGCCCGACTTACACAATTTGTTGGAATTAGTGGAGGATCCTAGTTTGGTGGATTTTGTGAGCAATAAAAGTAGCGACTTACAAGATGATTTCGATTTGCGTGAATGCCTTGAGCGTTTGAATGCCGAAGCTTTATACTTGTTGCAACTATCTGAAGAGCTACACAAGCGGCAAAGATGTCGTTTGTCCAGCTTATCAAGTGGCTTAGAGAAGATCGACAGTTGCTGTGAGTGTGATAGTGATGGTGAAAAATCGCCAACAATGTTTAAAAATACGCATCGCTTCATACGCACTGCGTCCCTAAATGAACAGAACCTGCCCACCTACAAGGAACACATAAAACATCAGCAGGATCAACTACTCAACTCGCTGCCACCCGATTTGAATCGACTACGTGCCGATATTGCTATGCGTAATAATGATGAACTCTTCTCTACGCCCGGTGGCAATGCGTCCGAGCTGAATTTCCAAGTGCATGAATTGAAAAATCGTCTAGTGAAATCAGAAACCGATCGTGTTAAGCTGCAGGAAGAACTGGAGCACACCATTAAACGGAATGCAGAGTTGGGCGAGGAGTTGCAGGTGCTGCGGGATCAACTGTCACAATTGAACTCACTCAATCACACCGATTATGCCGAAGGTTATGGTCATGGCTCGCTGAGAAGTCCGCCGCGTGCCTCCGGTTCGGAGAGATCTTCGACCAGCTTTACGCAGTTGCAAGAGAAGGCGCGCAATATACTATCGTCGCCAACACAACAACAGCCCAACAATGATGCCACTGTAGTGTTGCTGCAAATGATCGAAGACTTCTGTCGTGAGGGCGACAAGGTGGTGGAGTGTGGCAAGAAGGATCGTGAAGATCTGCAATTGCAGGTAAGCGCATAATTTGTATATACCGTATATAATATGGCATGAGTGTAAGTGTGGGTGTTCAAATTATGTAAGGCATGTGTTATTGACATTGTTAAATGACGAGTGAATAGCACTAACAATTGTGGAATGTATTTTTAAATATTTTCGGCATTTGTTTTCCATAAAACAAACCTTAAAATAAATATTTATTATACATATACATACATAAATATTCCACTATTCAATGCACCATATGCAGATTGATGCGGCGGATAAACAATTGAAAGCAACTCGTCACTTCCTCGAAGAGCAAGCTGCCGAACGAGAACAGGAGCGTGATGAATTTCTGCGCGAAATTGAGCGTTTAAAAGCGCAGCTGCGCGATAAAGAGAAGGAGCGCAGTACGTACGAGAATGCCTCGAAGGAGGTGAGTGGTTTAAGCAAACACTCTACTGTCTGCATTTCAACGTTATATCTATAAGTTGTTTGCAGTTTGGGTTTCTTGTGTTGCTGGTGTTTTGGTGCTTCGTTTGTTTGTTAAACTATTTTCTAATTCTTTCTGCTTTGAATTTTTTTTTATGATTTCATATACAACTATATCAAGGTTTATAGAGAACTGATAATAAGAAATTAATTTTTAATTAATTTTTTAAGTTTTTCATTTTAATATACCGTATAAATTATTGTGTTAAATTTAAGCATTAAAAAATATAAAAAAAAATTTTTTTTTACCCAAATATGATGAAATCTTTTCACGAATGCCTGCCTCACTTCCCTGAAAGAAGTGTTTTTCACATATCAACCTAAGCAAAAAAGCTAATTTTATTCCAAATGTCAGGCAAATGGCATCAAAAATGCAATTTTTTCGAATAAGTATGTAAGAAAATGTTATGCAAGGTTTTAATGGCTGGCTTTCGTTCCATGCATATACCTGAGGTTCCTTTGTAATATGAGTTCTCCATCTAGTCGATGCGTTTTGCGACCTTTAAGAGACTCTTGATATCTAATTTTGATATTTCATCTAGACCTCGGAACTGTGAAACTCCTGGATAACTCAAGATAAAGCCGAACAGTAACAGAGCATGTGTTCCATCATCTCCACCATCTCACTAACGCCTTTTTCCCTACACTACGTACATGTGTGATCATTATTATTGCCCATTCGATCAGCGAATTTTGAACTTTAATTAGACCAACAAACGTCCTGCGGTTCCCTCGACATCGCAAAGAATAGTTTTTTGCATATTAATATAGGCAAAGACTAGATATGCTACAATTATAAAGCAAATCGAAGCGTGTTTTTAGATCGGTCCTAAATCCACTTCCTGGAAAGAAAAGCAAAGCGCTATCTATATTCGCAATATTAAGCAAATCAAACCATATTTTTCCGATTTCATCGGCTCTACACATATTAACCTAGACAAAGAGTTACCTACATTTTTTCGAATAGCTCGATCCCAAGCTCATTACCTAGTTTTTCCGAATAGAACCATATACAGTATTGGCCAAAACTAAATCAACCGTAGTATTGTACAATTTTTGCAAGTTCTGTTTTCTTTAAATAAATTAATTTTTTTTGAATTTTTTTTATATTTATATATTCATTTTTAATGAAGCAACATACTAAACAGTAGTCCAAAAAATTTGACGGACAAAACTAAAGCATCCTCTTCATTGGTGTTAAAAAACGTCTCTAGGCTAGTATTTAGTAGCAAACCCTTTGCTTTGGATGACTGAGGGGTATCTTTTAGGTATTGAAGATATGAAATTATTGATAATATCCTGATATATGTCCTCCCATGCCAATTTTACAGCTTTAAACAATTCGTTCTTGGTTCTACAGTGCTCCCTATTAATTTGCATATTTACGATCTCCCTTAAGTTCTATATAGGGTTGAGATCAGGAGACTGAGCAGGCCAATTTAAAACGTCTATGCCTTTACAATGCTTCAAGAGATGCCAAGGATCGTTGTCGTGCTGGCTACTCGATTTCAAAGGCATCTCCTCTTCAGCATATGGCAGCATCATATTTTCTAAAATTTCGGTATACATGAAACGATCCATTATTCCGATTATTTGATGAATTGGTGCGTTACCTTGCCCAGAAAAACTACTCCAGACCATATAATTACCACCGCCGTATTTGGTGGTTGCAATGCATAATACTTTTTAATGTTTATTTTTTTTTGTACAAGTGCTTGACGCTCAAATTTTCAGAAAATGCTTCTCACATTTATGTTGTTATGTTCACATATATACACGTATATATACTTTTAAGCGAAAAAATTACTAATTTTTTTATTCATATAAATACCAAATCGCGCCCGCTGTAAGCATGAAGAAGTTGTTTCGGCAAATTCAACGGAAGCCGTAATCTTTATTCTATAAACCTTGATATAGAACTATATAAAATTATTTATCTGCGGTATTTACTTTTTCTATTTCATTTGTTAACTCTTTCAGGCAAATTTTCTTAATTTTAACTAACAAATTATTCTCAATTTTCTACTTTTAGTATTATGAATGGGATTATGAATTTATTTTCTAAAAAAAATTTCAATTCTTCATTAACACGATTGCTTTTAATATTATCTAACATTTTTAATAACCAATTGTTGCATATAATCATTGGCACTGTTTAATTTAACAATTTAATTTACTAATTTTTTTATTATTTAATGTTAATATCATAAATTGTGGTTGTTTGCATCAGTATATATGTACGAAATATGCATGTATTGCTCATACAAATTGTTAAATATACAGCGAAAGAAATAAAAATTAACAAATTTTTATATAGTTGTTAAAAAATTATGTTTTTTTTTATATTTATTTTCGTGAAAAAATAAGCATTTGAGCATATATTTTTGGAAAAACTTCGTTAAGAAATATTAAAAAAAAAATTAAGAAATTACTTCTAGCTTGCGTCGGAAGGTTTATAAATGTAGATAAATTTAATTTGAGAAATGTGGCATATATATATCTTCTATATATTTAACTTAAACCCTTGTATTTAAACTACATTTATGCTATAGGCATCCGTTTTCATCCGATGATCCTTATGGCTTAGAATCACAAATATGTACATATGTATTTTCAGTTTTGAAATTTCTCAAAACAAATTTCAACATCTTGGAAATATTTGATTAACGAAATAGCTATGCACTTTTTGCTTCCTTCGAGTCTATAAAAAATCTAGACTTATTTCGAAAATAAAGAGGATAATAAAGATTTTCACCTTATAGGCACAAAATATAAATAAAATACTTCAGCCAACAATTAGCAACACAAAAAACATATACTTAGCAGCGCAATTATTTTACACACTTACAATAAAAATATTTTGTTTACAAACACAGTATTATAAACAACTTCAAACCTGTTGAATATATTCTCTCACCCAACCGATTTTTATGACACCCTCAACAACTAGCTATGCATATACATACACAGACGGCGTGTGTGTCAGTCTCCGATGAAAAGCAAAGTTGGGCAACTTTCCGTATGATCGCACGTCAGATCAAGGGCAAATACATAGTTATGTACTATACATATATGTATATGTAAGTGCGGTGCTTGTGGCGCGAAAACATGAAATACATATTTTTTTTACTTGAGTAGAAAATAGAAAATTTCGTCATTAAAATATTTACTAACAAATATACATAATAAATTTTAGGCTTAATGAGCTCTTTGAAGATTCTTGAACTCAATAGGCTCATACATACAGATACATTAATATTGTAAATAATATATGTGCGTAATACTGACTTTTGTGTGTGAGTTGCTCAATATCCTCCTAAACTGTTATAATATTATATGTACATATATATACTATACAATATTTATATTTACTTTATAAATAAATTGGTTATTTGGTGAAGGTTTTATAATTTAGTTTAAGTAATATATATGTTTGTATATGTGAATGTGTAATATTCTGCAATATTCCACAGGCGGAACATTTGGAGACACAAATTCGTGAACTTAATCAAAAACTCAACGAAGCGAATGCAAAACGTGATAAATTCGAAATTGAATTAAAAGCATCAATAGATAAAATATTCGTTTTGCGTGAAATTATCACCGAATTGGAAACGCAGGTGGAAACAAAGGCGTTGAATGAGCATGTCTTGGGTGAAAAGAATAAGGTAATTTAAAGAGACACCAAAAGTTCTTGGACAAAAAATTTTACAGAAGTACTAAATTCAATAATGCGATTTCCTTTTCTTGTTTTAGCAATTGGAAGACTACATAAATGCCCAAACCCGTTCAAATGAAACGTTACAGCATGAAGTGCAGAGTTTGAAATTGGAAATTGGTGAAAGTTATCAGGAGCGTATACGTTTTCTGGAAGAGAAACTGCAAAATATGCGGCCGTCAGCGGAGCAGAGTATGGTGTTAGATCAAGTGGTGGAGCAGGTAAGAGTTTCAATGAAATACAGTGCATAATGCATACGTACTTTATTATTTTTGTATATGTTTCGATTCTTCTTCTTCATTTTTGTGCCTCATATAAAAAGTATTATTTTATATTTTTGTAGGTTCAAACCTGAGTATTTTTTATGCTATTTAATTTTATTGTTATTAATTTCATTTATGCTGGTATAATTTAGTTCATTTTTAATTTTGTTTAATTTAATTGAATATAATTTTTTGTTTCCTTTATCTTTATTTTATTTTATATCATAATATTTAATGTGATTTTATATTATATAATTTTTGTTGGTTTTATTTATTTTAATTTTTTTACTTTCTTTCAATTAATTTAAATTTATTTTATTTCGTTTTATTTCCTTTTATTTTATTTTGCTTTGTTTTATTTCATTTATTTTATTTTATATTGATTTAATTTGAATTTTTTTGTATTTAAGTTAATTTTTTTTTTAGTTTTTGTTTTAATAATAATATCATGTATTTCTATTTTTTTATTTTTTTTAATTTAATTTAAATTTATATTTTGCATTCTATTTTCATAAAGTTAAACTTTCTAAATTTAGTTTAATTAGCTATTTTTTCAATTTTTACGTAGTTAAATTTAATTTTATTTTTTTTTGTTTTAACTTATTATGTTATATTTAATTTCGTTTTTTTATTTAATCATTTTATTATCCGCTTTTATTTTACGTGGTTTTATTTTACTTTACTTTAATAAATTTAATTTTTTTTTATAAATATATTTTATTTTTATAGACTTATTATTTACTTTTATTACATTCTTATTTATTTTTTACCTTATTTAATTTACTTTCATTAAAATAAAGTGGAATTTTTAATTATAGTTTAATTTAGCCAATTTCTTGGTATATAACTTTTTTAATTTATTTTTTTCAAATTTATTTGGTTTATTATTTTGTTTATTATTGTTTATTTTTTGATTACTATTTTTAGATAATATATTTTGTTTTAATACTCTTGTTGTATTACATTGTATTTAATTTTTTTATTTTTTATGTAAATTTAATTTTGTATTATCATTTTATTGTTATATAATTTCATTTTCTTTTTATTATTTTATATTTAATATATTATGGTCATTTGTCTTTATTTTTTATGATTTTGCAATTTAATATTATTTGATTTGCTGTAGGTTATTTTATTTCATATTGTTCTATTGAAGTAGTATTTAATTTAATTTTGTTTCTTTTACATCGCCTAATTTAATTTGGTTCTGCAGGAATTTTTATTTATTTTTTATTTATTTCATTTAATTTTTTATTGTTATTTAATTTAATTTAATTTATTTATAATTTTTTTGTGTTTAATTTAATTCAATTTAATTTAATTTTTAATTTTGCTTGATTTATTTCATCTTATTTTGTTTCGTTGTTATATTAATTACTATAATTTCCACATTTTTCAGCTCCGTGACATTGAGAACAATCTAGATCAGAAGACGAAAAATCTCGAGTCCATACACCATTCAATTTCCTCGAATGCCAATAGTGCCACAGAGGATGTCTCTGTAAATGGCACTCGTCCCGCTCTGAACTCATTGCCAGCAGCAGCAATTGGTACTTTGGATAATTTACATACCACACCAGGTTCTCCAATGCATCCATCGCCCAGACAGCATTCACTCACCATGGAGGGTGTTCAACGTATCGCCGATAAAGTTGCCAAACATACACGTGTCGAAGAGGCAGCCGTTAAACGTATACGTGATTTGGAGATGCAAGTGACGCAGATGCGTGATTCCTGTGTGGTGAGTTTCACGCTTGCAAACCTATTTAATTACTTCATGTATGGTGGAAAGCTGCCAAAATGGGAAGCAGTTATATTTGAAAATATGAAAGTGCGCAGGCGATGTGGATGTCAGGTTGAATGTGTTGTGTTGAGTTGTGCGGAACGAAAGTGAAACCAATCATTTGTTTACGACTTAGCCCTGTAGGAATATAAACATGCTTTTTGGGAACGCTGATTCTACTTGTAGCGTTGGTAGTGTGTGCTGTCTGCATATTCTACCCATTACTTGGAAAATATTCTCTGTGGGCTTTATTTTTATTACTTTAGCAGCATGTGAGCACACTTGCCACAAGCGTATGTAGGAGGGTGCAAATTAAGTTGCTCTCGTTTGGGGTGTCCGCCACAGCATCGAACATTGTGGGCTGTCAGCTTTGTGCGCGCTATTTAGTTTCTTTGCCATTGTGATGCTGTGTACGCGTCTGCTTGCATAAAGCTTTTGTTGTATTTCGGAATTGTTATTGAAATATAATTTGTTTCACGTTTGTGTATAATTTTTTTTCTGCATTGTGTGCAAGCTATTCTTAGTGATATTTAGTGATATTTTTTTTTTATTCATTTGGTTAATTGAGATTTATTAAAATTTCTTGCTCGATAAATTGTTATTTTGAACTATACATATCTGTGCAAATGTACATATTCGCATTGATTTGATAAACATTGATAAACTGCGGAGTAATGTTCAATCAGCATAGTAAAGGCGGCGTCTTTGTCGTCAAATTGAGTCCACCCAGGGTAAGCAAAAAAAGGAAAGGAGTTTATAATATATACATAGATAATAATAATAATAATAATAAAAATAATAATAATAATAATAATAATAGTAATAATAATAATAGGAATAATAATAATAGGAATAATAATAATAAAAGATATTAAAAATATTAATAACAATAATAATAAAAATAAAAATAGTAATGAAATAATAATAACAAAAATAATAATAATAAAAGTAGTAATAATGAAAATAATAATAAAAAAATAGAAATAATAATAATAATAATAATAATAATAATAATAATAATAAAAGTAGTAATAATGAAAATATTAATAATAAAAATAAAAATAAAAATAATAATGAAAATAATAATAATAAAAATAGAAATAAAAATAAAAATAATAATAATAACAATAAAACAAAGTAATAATAATTAAAAAAAAAATTAATAATAAAAATAATTAGGAAATAAATAATAATATAAAAAAACAATAATAATAAACAATAATATAAATAAAAATAATGATGAAAATAGTAATAATAAGAAAATAATAATAATAAAAATAATGAAAATAATAATAAAAAAATAGAAATAATAATAATAATAATAATTATAATAAAAATAATAATAATAAAAATAATGGTAATAAAAATTCTAATATAAAAATAATAATAATAACAATAAAACAAAGTAATAATAATTAAAAAAAAGTTAATAATAAAAATAATTAGGAAATAAATAATAATATAAAAAAACAATAATAATAAACAATAATATAAGCAATAATAATAATGAAAATAGTAATAATAAGAAATAAATAATGAAAATAAAAGTTATAATAATTGTAATAATAAAAATAATGATAATAAAAAAATAATAATAAAAATAATTATGAAATAAAACATAATAATGGAAAAATAATAATAATCATAAAAGTAATAATAATTATAAAAATAGTAATAATAAGAAAAATAATGATGATAATAATAAAAGCAATAATAACAAAAATAATAGTAATTAAAATAATAATAATTAAAGTAATAATAATTAAAGTAATAATAATAATAAAAATAATAAGAAACTAACAACAACTTACAACAGATGATTTGAATATTATATTTGAATATATGAAATAATATTTTACGCAAATATCCATTAATATTTGGCAGCGATTAGTATTTATTTATTATGAAAATTCAAGTTTAACCAACACATGTCGCATAATTGATGGCCTTCCGTTCTTTTCGTCGTTTGTTTTAGTATTTTGCTTTGCTCTACACTTCTGTAGGTTATTTAAATGTATATGTATGTATGTATATTTGAAGTTGACTGGCCCAGTAGCGGAATACCATTGGACAGTTCTCATGTTTGTTATAAATATTTTTAAAATATTTTATATTAGTTAATATTGTCTAATATTATTTAAAAATTGCGGTGGTAATTCTACCTTTCCACTTAGAAATATCTTTGCATATGATTTTTACACACACACACAAACGGAGTTTTAGGTTTACTATTTGTTTTTTTTACAATTTCTTCAGAATTTTCTTTTTATTAATTATTTCTGCCTACGAAAAATCGTTAGTTCATGCAGCTGCCGCTTTATTTGCAATTATGTATATATGTTTGTGTATAAGTATGTTTACAGTTGCACACTTTCCTAATTTTGAGTTTATTCAAAATTTCGTACGTCGCATTTCCGCGTTATTTTGAATTTAATTTTAGAAAAACGGAGCAAATGCATAAAATTTATATTGCAGAAAGTGTTTTTTTTTTAATTTGTTGTAAATGCATTTATTATGTTGCAGCACTTCGTTAACATGCATATATACATATGTATATGTTTGTATGAAGTCTGAAAATAGAATTTTTAACTCCCTCGAAAAACCTACTTGTGAAAATTTCATGTTTCTCAGCATAAAGTGGAGACTTTTGTAATGGAAAATGTGTTAGTTGCTTTCGCATGGTTGTTTATGTATAAATATACATATAAACAAAAAAAAAAAAAATTTACTTAAGTGTGCATTTATTGTACACGATGTATTTGATGAAAGTAAACTCTTTTAGTTTCCTGACATCGAGTTGGGTTAGATTTCACACTCCGAACTCATTCCTGGTAGCAAGTAAAGCAACATAACCCACTATTCTCTTTATTGGCATAAAAAAGTTCCTTGCTACTTGAAACTATTCTGAAGAATAAATTCGAAAAGACAACAAAAGTACCTACGAGTTGGCCTATGAAAGAGGTCATTATCCATACTACTAAAAAGTCTATAAAGTTTTTATATGTTTTTTTTTTAATTAAGTGTCGCTTTTTTTTGTAATTTTCGGGTTCAGATCCCCGTGCGACCAAAATCTAAAAGTTGTAGAAAATTAATTAAATACAAAATTAAGTTAAATATCCTAATTGCGGTCGCTCCTCGCAGGGAATGTCAGAGTTTATTTCAGACATGAAATAAAGCTCCTCATAAAAAACCGTTCGCCAGTCGGAGGCGGCTTAGTATAAATTGCAGGAGAAGCTCGGCCGTAATTCGCTTCTGCAGTTACAAAGCGCCAATTATATTATATATATATATATATTTAACCCATAACACCAGCTTTTTTACTTACGAGTTGAGTTTAACAATAATTTTTTCTCGCTTCTCTCTGCTTTGCATTGAACTTGAAGTAAGAAAAAAATCATAAATTCGCAGATCTACACTTCATAGTCTCATTTCTTCAAATGGTGATTGTTACCAGATCTCTTAAATATTAAATAAAAAAATAGAGAAGAGGAACTCGATTCACTTTCTCATTACATTAATATTTTTTAAAAGCAAAGGCCACTTTAAATTGTGTGAAGAGGGTCGCTGCATATTTCAAATGATTAAAACGCCTCTGACCTTATGGCTCCTCATTTATTCACTTTTCTTAAGGTTTTGCCACCGTAGAGCTGCACTTCTTCTTTATGACTCTGTGAAAAGAGACCCAAACCAGGGATAGTCTGTTTTGTTAATCTATCTGCTGAAACCATTTGCGACAGATAAATACGATTTCAGAGTTTATCGCATTAGAACTTTGATTGCTGTCTGTGACTTCTCGAGTATGCCTTTCGAATGAGAGCATTTCTGCCTGGAAATCCTCGCAATGATCTGGTGCGAATGAAGTTCTGCCAATTCTGTAGACGGGATGTTAGAGATTACCCTTAGAGCTTCATTCGGAGTACTTCTTAGCGCTACACTAATATATTTAAAAAGGGTTTTTTGAATCTTACTAAATGCGGATTACCATACCGCTACGCCATTTAAGTGTATTGGTCTTACCACGGAAGCGAAAATCCAACTGCAGGTTCTAGATTATAGTCTCATTTTAAGAGAGCGTTGGCGTAGACAGTAACCAAAACACCGTCATTTTGTTTCCGTAAAATTTGAGTTCAATGCGAAGTTCCAGAGCATAAGTGAGAGAACCCCTTTCCATGTAAATAATAATACACTCGGAGTGCTTGTCCTGTTGAGAGGCGACCGCGATTAAAAAAAAAATTTCTATATATTCAGATGTATGATCTGACCTGGACTCGACCTCAGGTCTACCGAATGTCAGTATATAAAGCGTACCACTGAGCTATTGCGCCGTCGAAAAAACATCTCAAAAGCAATCAAAAATCGCACAAAAAACTATAAATGCTTGGAAATAATTTTTTAATAAAAGTAGTTAACTGAACAAAGTCTGCTGGGTCTGCTGCTAACGAAAATTTACATTTAGACCATTAAACTTTTCGAAAAGCTCTCCAATATTAACTTCAAATTGCATTCACCGTGTATTCACCGTGGGTCAGTGAACTCTGGCCTGCTTTCCATTTACAATTGAAATGAAAACAAACAAAACTCGCACTTCCTTGCCGCTAAAACCAACTCTAATTTTCCATCAACAACTTCTTGGTGTAGGTAGTGCGAGGAAATAAGGTCATCATCAAATGTTTTTGTTTACATTTGCCAGCAGCCGAATGATGCAATCGAGGGATGCAGAGAAAAGAAAAAAGAATTAAGGAAATGAATCTATGACTAGTTGTGTTTGGAAAAGTCAAGCAGAATTGACTTCTTATTTACACTTTCCACACTTAGCTTACTTCACATTCGGTGGTTAGTGATTTATTGCGAACGCAAAGAGAGCTGCAGTTCTTTGGTAATTCTTGTGGCATTTGCTTGCCATCAGTTAACACCAAAGAAGCCATGCCCAACATCAGAGCATAGCGCATAATATGGTTAATGTTTTCATTTCTTATTTTCCATTTTTGTGTTGTTAGTTTTCAATTTCAGCTGCGGTCTCTCTTTTTTCTGCTGCTGCTGCTGTTGCTGTTGCATTTCTTGATGAATGCAGGTCATTTATGTTGTTGTACGCTTAGCTTATGCCCGTTGCACTTATAATAAACACAATTTAAATTGTATCAGATATCACACAGTGAGTGTACCCCTCTTTTTTATGTACGCCACCACCAGACAGTCTTCTTTTTATGTACCTACGTACGTATGTATCGATGATTGTTTGCTCCTCTAAATGTGCGTATGATAATCCACACTGCAATTGCCCGGGTTTGCTCTCTCGTGGAACACCATCATTTGGATAAATTAAATTACATTTTTACTATATATGTATGCTACATATGTATGTATATACATACTATATAATTACAGATCGTGTCATGGCAAACACTTCATAAATACCAGTAATCACCCAGCAGCACATCGCTTTAATGAACTCAACGACCTCATTGAGAGTTTTCGGCAGGGTATTTTGTAGGAAATATATATATATGTTCTATATGTCTCTAACATAATGTATTTATATACTTATTTGTACATATGTTCAGAGAAGCGCTACTGCATTGCAACATCAATGTCACTTGGATTATTGTACATACTGTACAAGTAGCTACTTCCCGTGTAAGTGATACTTTGCTCTTATAACTAGCTGAAGTCTTTGTTGACAGAAGAGGCTTCATAGCCTGTCTACATACATATTTCATTTCAGATAAATATAAAATTCCACTAATAAATACTAAAAATTTGTGATTCGTTTCGAATCGTTCTGATAACACCCTATAATCGTTCGATAAATCTGAAAGCCCAATCGTACTGCCCATAAAAACTAGAATAATTTAAAGGGTCTCTTGCCGAAACTAATTGATTCTTCTCAACTTCTGACACGAGCTTTCAAAAATGCATTGAAGATAATCTACATACTCAAAATCTCGTAAAATTCGATATCAGACTCATTTGTGTGTTGCCTCAGCTGTCATTTGTGGTATTGTAGACTTTGTTTCAGCTTTTGGCTCCAGTACATTTTTTGTTACCTTAACACATCACATCACTGACACTGTTAAGTAGGAGAGTCTATCCTAAAACTCTTTCTAATCATATGAAAGCTGGGAGTTTTCATTGAGAATTTAATCTTCTTTTTTCAGGTAGACATTCAATTAGGGCTGCAACGTATACACTTCGTATAAAAGAGAAATCCATCTGATTTTGGTATGTTATAGAAACATTTTTAAAGTTTTTCCGAAACAATATAGAGGAGAGTTAGCGAATCACTTGTTCTATAGTAGTATTCTTACTATAGTCTGAGGGAATCCAACTACTCAGTTGAAAGCGATTACTCTTCTTTATTGACTTAGGTATCATTTGTTCTTTTTCCACCTTATTTTTCAAACGGAGTTTAAGTTCGCATTCCATCGGCGGTTACTGTATCACAAACATTCCTGGTACGCCAGAAGATTCTGCTTAACTCTGTATTTCTCATGAGAGAGATTAAAGATTATCTGAAATTTCGTATAAGCATTGCAGGTATGATAAATTCTGATATGACGACGTAGAGAGGTAGCTCGTTTTCGCGCTGTCTAAGGTTACTTTGAAATCAACGAAAAGTTGGTGTGTGGTGATCCTCTCCTCTCGGAACTTTTCGCTCATTTTGTACTTTGTTAATATATGGACAATGGTAGGTTTAAGACGCAAAACGTTTGATCGTACCTTTTACGCGATATTAGGGAGACTTATGACACGGCAGGAAACTCACAACTTCTTGTGGGCAGAACACATTAAAATTCTAATCGTCGGGCATGCACTCATTCTATCAAATTTTGCTGTGGAGCTAATGCACGTATGACACTTTATCAGTTTTTGCCACCATGTATGAATAGGTCATCCGCTGCTTTCTTGTTTTTCAGGCATGGACGTGCTATTCGACCTTTATTATGGGCGGAAAATCTCTTCTCTTCCATAATTATCGGGCTTGGCATTTCCGATTGTTTCTTTTTCAGTATCTCTTCTCTCTCTACCTCCCTCCCTCTCCCTCTCCCTCTCCCTCTCCCTCTCCCTCTCCCTCTTCTTCGGTCTAATGTATATACACATATGTGTATACTCGTATAATATATAAGTGCAGAGTGAATTCCTTATTTTTTCGAGTTCTCCAACTTGAGTTATTAATTATGCGACCATTAATTCATAGCTCATTGGACTCATCTCTGATTTCACTCTCGTTGCAAACACTGTTCAATGAACTTTTTCTATAATTTATTTCCCAATTGATTATTCAAAAAGCTTCCATTAACCACTTGAGTTTGATGGCAATGCAACAATAACAACAACAATCCCTTCATTTGGGTATATCACTCGATTTTCCATGCCATTGTGCTGCGAACCAATTAAGATGCAAATTTTATATGCAAAACGACATTGTAGGTTTGAATTGATATCAGCGTGGATCTTATGCGTCAGCAGTGGTAAGCAGACAATGAACTCGTTGAGGACATTATTATTTACTGAGAACGACTGATGGTGAAAATTCCATTTTATCTAATTTATAAAATTCTCTTGTCACAGTGTTTACGTTCAATGAAACTCCGCCGACATTTACGGTTGGGCCGATTTTTATCAAATGTTGTGCCGGGCTGGTATGATAATCGGTCATCGTCCATTTTTCACGTCGGAAAATGCGCCACGGACGGACCTATTGGAATTTGTGGTTCGATTTACTTGAAATTTGGTACATAAATAAGTAGCCTTTTGCTTAGATGAACTCGAACAATACTTTTGTTGCTGGGTTTCGTCCGAGCTCTTGTTCCAATTTTTGGTGCGTCAGAAATACACCTGGAGACCCTGACATTCCCTGCGGGCCGACCGCAATTCGAAAAATTAATTTTTCTTTGATTTTGGATCGAGTCCTGGTTTGATAAGGTTTTGACAAAATAAAATTTAACTTGATCCTGGGAAGTGAGCTAGGTACCGATTTCTCTGAGAGAAACGCTCATCTTGTAATTTAAATGTATTAGTAACTTATCCAGATTAATATGCAGAAAATGACGCCGATCAATTCGTATTCATGTTTCGGATTTCGTTAACTTGTCTTCTCTGAAACGACTTAGTTTAAGGGGGGTTATTTACTTGGTCAATATAATATCCGTGCAATAATTAGAGAGAGAACGTCTGTGAAAGTGAAAGCGTTATGCCCGTAAATTTGGCAAAATCAGTCCACGTTTCCTGTTCGCGTGTCGGCAAATCGTCTTGGTTGTATATTTCATTATTACTCTAGAGTTAATCCGAAGGCAAGGAATTGAGGCGAGGTAAAGTCCACTAGGACCGCATATCATATCCGCGTACATATATTTGATTCGCGCTACATGTCCTAGACTTAAGCATATCGAGCAAGCTCAAACTCCGAATAGTGGCGCACGTCCTTATATTTTTTCCCCACAATTAAAACAGCTGCAAACATTTCCACTTTTTAAATGAGATTTTTTTTTTTAAATTAATTAAATCAAATATTTTCTTCTTCTTCTTCCGTTTCTCATTTAGGACCTGCAGCATGAACGCGATGCACTGCAAGATCGCATTTCCGAGCAAACCCAACGCATTACCACCTTGCAGTCCCGTCTTGAAGATCAGCGGAAGCGTGCAATGGAGCTGCAGCGTGCCGGTTCTATTGACCTGAATGTGCGCGTTCATGATCTTCAAAATGAAGTACAGAATCTACGCGAAACACTTTCGGCGCGTGACAAACAGATGGCCACAATGAAGCAGCAGCTGGATAAGAGTAAAGTTGCCATTGATCGACTTGAAGCCGAGTTGGCTGTGGAACAGCAACCGGACCGCAGCATTGTGGAACGCTTGGAGATGGAAGTGAAGCAAAAGAATGCAGCCATACAGCTGTTGAAGGAGAAAATCAAAAATGAGATGATAAACAAATTATCATTGCCCGATTTAATGGAAACTATGCTGGCCGATAAGAATGAGGAGATCGATCATCTCAAGGAGCAGCTGGAATCGAAGGAAAAGGAAATACAAGAACTCAACTCGAGTCAGCACTCGAGCTTAGGGCGTGCCGGTGACAAGAGTGTCGGTGCGGGCAAGGAGGAAATGAGCACGAAATTGAGTGCGCGCACGCTGAGCGACATAGTGTCCATTAGTGAATTTGACGAGCCAGACGTAATGCGACGTGCTGCTGTGGCGCAAGAAGCGACGCCAATACAACTAGCGGACGGGAATCGTGGTTTCGGTCAAAAAACTATGGTAAGCGTAAATAAAAAATTCTATAGATGTGCAAGCAAAAGTTTAATATTTTAATTCTATTTCTACTTCACAGGACACATCAAAGCAGGCGCTGGCGAATCTGACACACAAGCGCACCGAGGACCTGTCTGGTTTTGCCACACTGCGTCCAGTCAACACCTTCGATAATCCACACTACTTCCAAGATCCCAATGTGCTAACACTCACTGGCCAATCTGCAGCCACGGCCACGCCACCAATTGTGCCACGTCATATTAACTTCTCGGCCCTAACAGAGGATTCCAAATTGAAAACACCTGGTTTGGAAATGTCCGCAATGGATAAAAGAATTGCGGAGGAGAAAGAAATGTACCAAAAGCTGGAGCAAGAAGTGCAAGAGCTGAAAGAAAAACTTACCAGCGTTTCTAACGAAAAAGATAGCGCTTTGCGTGAGAAAGATCAAGAAATGCAAGCCATGGAGGAAGAGTTGGTTGCCACACAAGTTCGTTTGGGTGGCCTGCAACACGATTTGGAGCAACAACAAACTGAAATAGTTAAATTAAAGCAGGAAGCGCAAAAATGTCTGGCACATCAAACAGAAATCGCCGAAAAGACGGCCGAAATTGAATTACTACTGAGCTCTCAAGAGCGTCTAACAAAAGAGAATAAAGAACAGCAAGAACGTCTCACAAAAAGTGAGAAGGAGCTGCTGAACTATAAGGAGAATGAACAACGTCTGCAGAAACGCGTAACCGAATTGGAGGAGAAAATCCTGCAAACCACTGAGCATGAAGTTAACGAGCGGGAGAGTCTGCGTAAAGAGCTAAGAGCCATTAGCGCCGTACACGAGCAGTGCAAGAACACGGTGCGCGAGCTGGAGCTACGCAAGGTGGACAACGCACAGCTGAATGAGCAACTTAAAGCCAAGGAGCAGCGATTGCAGATGCTCACAAACAAATTAGTTCAAGCTGATGAAAACGTCAGTGAGCTGGAGCAGAAAATACGCGCACTAGAAACGGAGTTGGAGCGTTTGCGGCAGCACCCTCTCCCTCTCCCTCTCAATACGCGCACTAGAAACGGAGTTGGAGCGTTTGCGGCAGCAACCCAATAGTGAAAATAGCTCCAAGCAATATTCTGTAGATGAAATTGCGCAGCAAGTGGAAAAGGAGCTGAACTATTCGGTACAACTGGACACGAATATATTGCAGGTTATCGAAAGTGAAGAGGAAAACAACCTGGATCGCAAGAGTCGTGACAAAGCGTCGCAAGAGCCCAAAAAGACTGAAACTCAGGGCACCGACGACGAGAATTTCACCGAACGTGACTTGCTGAACCAGTTGGAAGCGCTAAAGGCGCAAATCGCCGTGGAACGCGAACAAGGTGAATATATACGCCAGGAATTGGCTATGGAAAAACAACACTCACAAGAAATACAAGAACAGGATGTGGTCATAATCGAGGCTATGCGTAAACGACTCGAAACCGCTTTGGAAAAGGAGGATGAAATGCACAAATTAATGGAGATCGAGCGTGAGCGTTGTGAACGCTTGCAAACACAAATCGCCGCCATGCAACGCGTCGAGTCGCGTCGTAACTCATCGATGTTGAAATCACCAAGCGATTCGCCGCGTAAATCGCCACGTGGACTTGGCAACGATTTCGAATCGGAGCTGGCAGAGCGACTGCGCAGTGAAATTAAAATGCTAACTGCACAAAATGAGCGCGAACGGGAACGCTGTATCGATACGCAGCGCGCCAGTGAACGTGAGCGTCAACGCTTTGAAAGCGAGCTGCAAGAGCGTGTGGATTATTGTAGCAAATTGAAGCGTGAAATGGAAAAGTTGGCGCGTGACAAAGATATGGTGGAAGAAGAGTGTGAACACTTGCAGGAGCGTCTAACTGCGCAGACAAAAGAAATCGAGTGCTTAGAGACCAGACTGGCCACATTGCAAGAGGCAGAAACGCGACGCACAACACGACGTGATCGGCACCAGAAGGAAAGTGCACAATTAATGGGTGAAATACAAGAAATTAAGACACTGCTCTTGGCTACCGAAGCGGAACGTGACAATTTGCTCAAAAATATTACGCAATTACGCTTCGAAGTAGAGCGTGCAGCGCAACGTGAAGCCAAACTTGCAGAGGCGCTCGCCAATGCAAATATGGCTGCCACAGAAGCATCAGTGCCGCAACAGTTTCTACAAAAGATGAAGGAAATCAATACACTGCTGGCGGAGAATACGCAGGAGAATCGGCAAATGGCCGAGACGGTACAATTCCTGGTGGAGGAGCGTCGGCAATTGCAGAAAAAATGCGAAGATTTGGAAGGGCAACTCGGCGGCACCGCAAATGTGACGGAGCTGGAGGAGCGCTGCAATCATTTGCTCGGCCGCTATTTGCGCGTTGAATCGCATCGTAAAGCGCTTGTGTATCAAAAGCGTTATTTGAAAATTTCACTGCAAAGCTATCAGGAGAGCGAACAACGCGCGCTGGCTACACTCAATGGCGGACACTTGCTGCAGCCTCAACGCAACAAGAAGAAGTTATTTAAGTGAGTTTCAACTGTGGGTGTTTTGTTTTTATTGCAATTTAAATTAATTTTACATTTATTATTGCAGAGCTGTTGCTTTGGCTGTTGTAGCTATTCAGCGCATGAAATACATTGGACGCTCTTGGCGTACGGGAAAGCGAATCGTTTCGAAGTCTGTATTTACAATTACGCAACAAAAGTAAGTGCTGATACGAAATAAAAAATTAAGCTGAACTGTTCTGTCAACGGTGCCTTATGGACAGATAGTTGAGGTCTAATAATAAGTATGTGTAATAATAAGAAAAGATAACAATCTAAAGTTTACTAAGTTATTATGAAGGTTTTATGTAATCGACTTCCCTCTATTTTTTTAATGTAATTTAATTTTTTAATGTAATCTATCCTCCCCTTCCGCCTCAAGTTCTAATAATCATAAAAAATCCGCTGTGACTGTTAATCTACAAGTAAAACTTAACAAAATCCCAAAAAATAGTAATGAAGTGTAGCTTTAAGTGAGTAATTTTTGTAATTATTATTAAGTTTTAAGCAAAGTAGTTTTCGTTCAGCGTTCAGCGCATAATAAAATACTTTGTAGTGCACAACACGCTCAGCAGAGAAAGTTGCGCACCAGTAAATACACTGCTATTTTACCCACTTAGTAATCACTCACTCAGATCATTCGTTCATTGATTTGTAGCAAAAATATATGTTTACATTTATGTTATTGAAGTTCTCTAACTTATTTACTGTTTTTTTTTATCCCCCCAACCTGTATAGACCCGCTCAGCCGCCAGTGCTTACCTATGCCGCCGCAGCCAATTCGAATTGCCCCAAATCTCCATCAACAATGCCATTTTACAATGCGCCCATCTGCAATACATCGCGGCAAAGAGATCGCCAATATCAGGGATTGAAGTCTCCAGCATTGGTGCATGATTGCCTGAATGGTGGCGGTGTGGATGATGGCGTCACATCTACAACAAATCTAAATTCCGTGCCAATGTTCGATTGGCCACGCCTACAGACATATCAACAGTAGCATTTGCTGTTGACCAGAGCCCTGACACTATACGATAAGTACATACCTACATCCGGTGAACGTAAATGCTCAAAAATGAGATTCTTAAGAAAATCAAGCCAACAACAACAATAGTTGACGGTCAATGCAATCGTCAAATGAAGCGCATTTTATTATTCTTGTGTATCATAGGAAGAAGAAAATGCTTACAAAAAATATCACAAAATAGTACATAAATACAAAATGTGAAAACAAAAGTAGAAACAACAACTATTTTATACATTTTCTTGTTCATCTACATACATACACTCACACATACTTGCATACCGCATTAAATTAAGTCTATTGTTAAAATGTGTAAAATTAGTCATAATCGTAAGTTTAAGTCTAGTCGTTAATGTGTTTATACATACATACAAATATATATATATATATATACCTATACAATAACTATTATATATTCCTACCATATCTACGCAATTGTTGTGCGTCTCAAATATTTAATTTTGTTTTATATTATATTAATCCAGTATTTTAACCAAACTTATTTAACAAAACAAATTTTTTATACAAATAACTCCATATTTTATTTATGTGTTTGTTTTCAATAACTCATATTAATTTAAGTTTTTATGTCATTTTCTCTCCCTTTATTGTAGTCTTATTTATATGTTGTACTTTAGTGTTTAATGCCATAAAATTTGATTTGAATTAAAGTAGTTTGTTTAAAAAAAATTTCCTTGGCTTTTTTTTCTTTGGTTTTCTCTGGATCTTACGTTTTTTCAAATTGTCAAATTTAATGTTTCTATTTTTTCCATAACCACTTCCATAAAATCACAGTGCCTTAAATGATTTTTATTACGAACAGAGTGGAAAAGAATATTTTAATAAAATAATTATAAGAATTTTAACAAAGAAAAGCTATTTTAAATGATCTAACAACAAAGTATTTGAATAAATATTAAACAATATATTTGTTGATAAATAAAGAGTTTTACTTAGTATTTTATAACCTTCCAAGATCGACAAAAGTGATGGAATGCGTTACAGTGTGCCCAGCAAATTGAGGAGGAAAAGTGGTGAGATTGGTGAAAGTACTATAAAAAGAAAGTTTGGAATATATTGGAAGATTCTTGCGTTAGGGACTATATTCAGTTCTTAAGTAAGGCACAAACTCCATATGAAAAGCACTTAAATTCATGGTTAAGAAAATTTTTGCTGTCTTATGAACTTTAAATGGTATGCTGCTCTTAAGTTAGAGAATTGATTTGAACCCGAACATACTCTGTAGAAAAGTATACGAGGGGATTAACAATAGTTCGGTGAGGAGACCAGAAAAAAAAATAATTTTTATTTTTACTGGTGATCTTTCTCCTTTTCATCTTCTCTACATATACGTAGTCGCCATTGATTTCAATTCATTCCTTAAGCCTATAGATCCACCGAAGACTGTCTTCAAAATTTTGTTTTTTAAGCTCATCAAGCTCAGCATTAACCGTATTAATCGTTGCTATTAATGACCTTTCCTTGTTAATTTTTTTTTGGAATTAACAAAAAATCACAAGGTGCTATGTCCGAGAAATGTCCTGGACGTGTTTCTTCGTTCCCAGAGATCACAATAATTTTTCTCGTTATTTCAGCAGTGTGAAATGGCGCGTTGTCATGATGTAAAAAGTAGCGCCGAAAATCCTCTTTCATTCTGTTTTCCAACAAATTTTTGAGCATTTTTGGTAAGCACTCTTCGGTGTACCATTCTGCAGTTACCTTTTGACCCCATTCCAGTAGTATATCAGCTGCGAATTTATATCGGGTGAAGTAAATTGACATCACTATTTTTGCTACTGATTTTTGTTGTCTAGATTTTGACGGCTGGGTTTTGTCGTGTTTGTCTCCATACCACGGACTGTTGTTTGGTTTCTGAATAGTCTTTATGGAACCAAGATTCGTCACCAATAACGCCTTTACTAAAGTTTCAAGACTGGCCATTTTCGAACTTGTTTAGGAAAAATTTAGGAAAATGCACTCGAGCATCTTTTTGGGCCTCATTTAAAATTCGTGGAACCCATCGAGCAGATTTCTTCGTGTATCCCAGATGATTACTTAATATAAGCCTATATCGCGAATAGGCAATCAATTCTGGTGTCCGTCGTGGGCCTTCGTCAATTTTGGACTTCACTTCAGTGGAAGATTTTGGTCGAGCTTCCCGGGGCTCGTCCTCTACGGAACAAAGTGCAGTCTGGAATTTTCGGAACCACTTAGAAATAGTCTTTAAGGGCGGTGCCAGTCTTAGTTGCCATATTTAAATATTCCAGTCTCTTCATAAACGGATGTAAGCTTTGCAACTATTGTAATATTGAGAAAATACTAAGGTTTCAGCCCAAAATTCTAAGTTTATGCTCGTAAATTAAGCATACACAAAGACCTTAGACCTGAAATCGAAAGGAGCAGAACGAAGTATCTTACAAAAATGAGAAATCATGCAAACCCGTTAGCTAACGGTTTGAGCAACTTATCTTGAAATTCATGTCTGCATCAATGAGATGTTTCCGTCTTCTAGGGAGAGCGAAAATGTTTGAGAAAGGTTCAGAGTTACATAACTCGAAATTACAATTTTTTTTTTTGAATTTAAATGCTTGTATTACGTAAAAAAAAACCAAATATTGAAACGTCTTTCCGTCAGTAGGCTGGGAAAAGTTTCCCTACATACAATGGTCATTAGATAACTTCCTCGTTTCCTCTGCGAGTAGGGTCCGTACTCGAAACATTCTCTAAGTAGCCGCTTCGAATTTTCGAGCATTATCCCTGCGAGTCAAAAATATAAAGCTTTTCAAACTGGCGACCTCTCTTTTTTCTGTCCTCAAATATGTCTCCCTCTCCAGCTCTTGGCATCTATCACATCCCGCACATATTGTGGTCAATCCTTCCTGCTTTACGAATCTCTTCTTCTTTTGATTTTGTCGGATATCAGTAGTTTCGTTTGCATAAGAACGTGGGGTGCTTGAAATCTCGCCCCAATACTTTTTTTAACGAGTTGCTGAAGAGTGCTCGCAGAGAGTAGGAGCCGAAGAAAACAGTTCGGTTGTCTGTTGTGATTCTAGCTTTTTAATGTAGAATAAAATATATGTACATCTCGATTTCTGTGATAAAAATGTTGAGGGCAAAGGAGCAAATTATTTTGAAAATTACATTATAGACACCTAACATAGACTTGTTATTTCTTTGTAATGCCAGATGGAGGTTAAAACTTATTGATCTCCGTGTAGGATGTCAACGCTATTTGTCAATTTTAAAAGGGTCTTGGTAATCACTTTACAGACTTTTTTTTCGTCGCCTGAACAGTGAAGTCTTAAAAATGTTTTAAATATAACCAACGGTGTTTCGACGTCCCACGCATGACTGCATCCCTATACTTACCGCATGTGTGGGCCACTCTACGTGATTGTGATGCCAGAAGATTATTGTCCTCAACATTCCTTCGAAACCGTCTTTCACTACTATGCACACGATCTCGGCGGCATTCCACAGAGTTTTACCATACTTTATTTACTGGTCGGTCGCCAGAAAGGTGGCACAATTTGCAAACTCACCAACAATTTTGTTCCCCAAAACGCCTTTACGACCAGAAACTCAGTAGATATCCAGTTGCCTTGCTTCTAAGAGCACTTTTTCTGATGAAAATTGTCTTGTTTTCAAGGCATATATTTTTCATGTAGACTCTTCCGGCTTTAATTTTCGGTTTTTCGTCTGGAAATTATTGAAATATTTCGAAAATTTGTCAGAGATTTAGTTTAGCAAAACAGATAAAGACACACACGCCATCAGAAATTTTTATTTCGTCTTTGCGGATGTTATAAGTTCTGTTATTGGATCGCATTGTACTGGGTCATATATCCCCCTTTAACGTGGTTTGCAAACTTCTTTCCCAGATAAAGCAAGGGGTGTGTAGTCTATTTTATTTACCCTGCCTTGCTAATTGAGTTATGCCCGAAGTTTCTAGCAAACAATTCATCTTGCGTCACTAATCTCACAGCGAATTTCGTCTGCGTTTCTTTTCACTGCAATGGCGATTGGTGTTAGGTTAAGTAACCTTTCGAGTGAGCAACAGTTATCCGCAATATTCGCTCCAATAGTTTTCTGTATGATAATTAACTGGACGTGGTCTAGCCCACTTAAGCAGCATAACGTATGCTAGACTTCACTATCGCTTGGTGACACCCGGCATGAGCCCAGACGATAGGCCCCACGTACTACCTCCTACTACATACAAGAGTTTCCCCAAGCGTCATTTGGCGAGATTACTACATGTGAGTACTCAAGAGTCCAGCATTTCTTTATTGTCTTAATTTGCGGAAAAGGAAATGTTACGAGTGCGATAAAGTACGTCGGATTTGGCGTTGAGCAAAATCACTCGAAATCAATTTATCACCACAGCACCTGTTTGCTGCGATTGCCTTTGCTGCAATGGCGCGTATAAGAATCCAGACAGATGAATCCTTGTGGCTGTTTGCATACCCAAGGTTTGTAATGTGGAATGTAAAAAACAAATGTATAACTCTAATTTGTACATAGTTGCAGCTGACGGGAAAGATAGGTAAATGCACAAAAACAATGCTGTACATAAGACTAATGTGGCCTGCGTGCCATATGCCAGAGTAAACAACTCGCAGCTGCTGATGATGGTCAGTGGTCCTTCAACTTGACGCGGCACGGCATGAGTTAACGCTTGCGTGCCTCCAATGCCGAGGACAATAAAACAAAAACAAAAAAAACTGGGAGAATATACATAAACAAAGAGATATCGTAGGAAAGGAAGAAGAGAATGGGAAAGTGTCCAATGAAAATAAATCAAAGCAAAAAAACAAAAAAAAAAAAGGAATGAAAAACGCGTCAAGAACGAGTGCTTTTCAAATTAAATTTGCATGCAATTTGCGATAGAGAAGTGCACAGTGGCAGAAATCAGTTCAAGATGCTGAGTCATTTGCCGTGACTATGAGAAATAAAAGAAGATGCCTTTGGGAGTATAACACTGAAGAAGTGGAGAAGCTTTGTAGAGGAAAGGATGCATTGGCTGAAAGAGGGTCAGTGGCAACCGTAACTCTTTGGTGAATGCTGAGTATTACCAAGCAGAAGCTATATAGCTCATCGAATTGGCCTGGGTAATAATCGACAAGATGTAATCTTTACCGCCATTCTACAGGCAGCAACGAACATCCTGTCTCTCTCATTATGTAATATTTACTCAGTCTGTCTCTCCGTAGAGCCAAGGATATTGTGAAAAAACGAGAGTGACTTTCATACCAAAGGGAGGCAGAAAAAGTTATGGAAATCCAAAGGATTTTCGACCAACAAGTCACACATGTTTCCTACTAAAAGTTTTAGAGAAAATGCTCGACGCTTATATAACTCATGTGATGTCTCCAAACAACCTAATGGAAACCCGCAAACTTACTCTAAAAGTAAATCTGTAGACACTGCTGTTAACGACATTGGCACGAGGATCGCGAGAGATAAATATTAAGCGTATTTCTCGGCATCAAGGGGGCCTTAACAATGCCTAACCAGGGATACATGAGTCTGTAGTCCGAGAAATGGGTATCGGGACGCAGGTAGTGAATTTTGTAAACTAGGCGACACATCAGTTACCAGGTATGTCAATAAAGATACCCCACAGGCGGAGTTCTTTGTCTCCTTCTATGGTGGCTCACATTCATCGAACTGCCTCGCGAGCCAATAAG